GCACACAGCTTCGGGAGAGATGCAGATGGAGCAGTGAGGGAGGCAGGGAACACCCAGGCAGGGAGCACCAGGCAGATCAGCCAAATCAACCCTGGCGATCAATGGGGTGACAGATGTTTCAGCGAGATCACCCTCTGCTATAGCATTTTTTATTTGGAATATGGTGGATCAAGATGGTGTCGAGATAAGTTCCATTGGCATTCTCTGCAAGTTTGATTTACTTTTTAAACGAAGGTTGACAAGTGTTAATGAGATGTCAGGCTGAATCAAATCTATGGTCTATTTAGTCCAGCACCATGTTTCATGCAGCAGCTAACCAGTTGCCCTTGGTTGCCATCTTCTGCACATTTGCAGTATCTTTTTTTAGGATACGGTGACTAGAACCGTAAGAACTCGTGGGGACTCAATGAAATTGCTGAGCGGTCGGGTTAGAACGGATAAAAGGAAGTACTTCTTCACCCAAAGAGTGATTAACACATGGAATTCACTGCCACAGGAAGTGGTGGCGGCTATAAGCATGGACGACTTCAAAAGGGAATTAGATAAGCATATGGAGCAGAGGTCCATCAGTGGCTATTAGCCACAAGGTATAGATAGGGGCTCTGGGGCAAGTGATGCTCTGGCTTCTTGGTGCTTGGGGGGGTCAACAGTGGGAGGGCTTCTAATGTCCTGGCCCCACTGGTGGACCTCCTGATGGCACCTGGTATTTCTGGCCACTGTGTGACACCGAGTGTTGGACTGGATGGGCCTTTGGCCTGATCCAACATGGGCGTCTCTTATGTTCTTATGTTCTTAAGATGTGGTGACTAGAACCGTATACAGTATTCCAGATTAGGCAGCACCACAAAGATGTTACAATATTGGCCATTTTTATTCTCAGTCTCTTTCCTAAGATGTCCCTAGCATGGAGTTTCACCACATCCACACAATGAGTTGCCCTCTTCATTGAGCTGGCCACTATACCTCAAATATCTCATTCCTTCTTTAAAGTTAGGATTTTTCTCCATCATGCATCACCTTGTGCTTGCTTATACTGAACAACAATTTCCATTCACCCCCTTTTTGAGATATCGTCTCGGAATTCTTCACCATCCTGAATAATTTGTTTAGAAACATGGGAAATCTGAAAATTAGATGTCTATGCTTAACATTTTTGGAAGATGAGTTGATATCCTTCTCTGTTAAACAATTAATGTAATCATTTGCGAATAAGTCATAGAATCATAGAATGTTAGAGTTGGAAGGGACCTTGCAGGTCATCTAGTCCAACCCCCTGCACTCTGCAGGAGTATACTGAAAGGTAGCCCTGCATACCTACAACATACCCGAAAGATGGTCGTCCAGCCTCTGCTTGAAAACATCCAGCGAAGGAGCATCCACCACCTCCCAAGGCAGACTGTTCCACTGCTCAACAACTCTTACAGTTAGGAAGTTTCTCCTGATATTTAGCTGGTAACGACTCCCTTGTAATTTCCACCCATTAGATTTAGTCTTGCACTCCGGAGCAAGAGAGAATAGATCTGCTCCATCTTCTACATGACAGCCCTTCAAATACTTGAAGACTGCAACCATGTCCCCTCTAAGCCTTTTCTTTTCCAGGCTAAACATACCCAACTCTTTCAGCCTTTCCCCATAAGACTTGGATTCCAACCCTCTCACCATCCTGGTTGCCCTCTTCTGGACACGCTCGAGCTTGTCAACATCCTTCCTAAAATGTGGCACCCAAAACTGGACACAGGACTCCAGGTGGGGCCTGACCATAGCAGAATAGAGCGGAACTACCCACCTCCCTTGATCTGGACACAATGGTTCTGTTAATGCATCCTAAGATTGCATTCACTTTCTTCACAGCCACATCGCACTGCAGGCTCATGTTTAGCTTGTGATCAGAACACCTAGAAGTCCATGTTCTTTTAATGTGTTTTTTGTTGTTTTTAATTGTACAGCTTTTATGTCATAACTCTGCATTTAGATGAGCAATAAGTAAGTGATTGGATACTAATGTTAATCTTGACCTTGATCAGCTGACATAAGCTACTGGTTGCTTCCATGCAAGACTGGTAGGGGGCTGTTCTTCCAGGATATCAGCTACCAGAAAACATGGGCAGAAGACATGGCCCAGAAAACATGGTCAGGCCTAATCTTAGTTTTCCAAACATTCAGGGTCCATGTGTGTCAGGGCCGGTTGGCAAAATGAAATATTTGCCAGGTCTCCGGCTCTGGTAAAGAACCCGCCACCTTAGCAGCCCTGACATCTCACCTTGAAAGGGGCAGCTAAGAAATTATAAGGCAGTGTGAGACAGTTCTTGGTTTGTACACCTAGCCTCTTACAAGTGATGGGAGCCCACTAAAGTATGCCGCCTAAGGTACAACGAAATCCCACCACAGGCTGCAGTAAAGCTCAGAACAATTGTTCCCCATTTTCCAAAAAGGTAATATTATCTACTGAGAGGAACAAGCAGGGGTCATTTCCTGCGGGGGTGCACAGGAGCGGAGCTCCCGCAGTAAAGAGCCCAGGGGGCGGGCACATGCACCAAAACCCACCCCCTGCTCCCAGGAGCCCTCAGTCAGAGAAAGAAGCAGCCAGGTAAGTTGAAGAGCCCAGCCCCCCGGTCCAAAACAGTCCAGTGGCACCTTTAAGACCAAGTTTTATTCAGGTACAAGCTCTCCCTCCTCTGCGAGGACAGATCTGCACATTCCCCCTCCCCCCCAATAGCTAGCAATCCAAAACAGTCCAGTGGAGCCTGAGTGGTGGGTGTTGCCTTCTGACACACTTCCAGTGATGTCAGGAGGTGTGGCATATGCAAATAAGTTATGCTAATGAGTTATGCTAATGAGCTCCTGCACCTCTTTTTCTACAAAATGACCCCTGGGAACAAATGATGAGTTATGGATAATCTGTAATTGTCATTTGTGTGAAGTAGCACCTTGATCCACAAAACCATAGAGTTGTCATTGTGGGACTGGATCCCGTGGATCTGTTCTGCTGGACATTCCACAAATGGTGGTGCCTGTTGCATCAGAGGAAAGTGTCTTGTGCTGGAGGAAGGCACCACATCAGTGGAACAGATCCATGTGATCCAACCCATGGGCTTTTTTCCAGGACTGCAAGACCTCAGAGCCTAGATAGTAGGAAGCCCAGTCTGTGCATTGGTTGTTTCCTGGAGACTGGTTTGAAATGGTTTGAGCTATATTGATTGGTGCGTTAGTGTGTATCGATAGATACACTCAAATCCACAGTAAAATATCAATAAAACCCTTGCTTCTGCTGTTTGGCTTAGGTTTTACGTCCAATTTAAGGAGTGTCTCTAATCTGGGCAGTGACCTGCATAAATGGCTATAAAGAATCTACTGACAAAGTGGTGAATCTCCACTGTGAATCTGGATAGAATGAAGTCAGAAACAATTTATTGACCGGAACGTCACAAATAGTCTGCCTAGAGAAATAACAATCAGTATAACATCACCAGTCATTCAACATTAAAATGCCCATGTTAAGAACCAAATATTCTGAGTACACAGAGAATGAGAGAAAAAGAGACTATTCTGTTTGAGAAAAGGAGAATAAAGAGGCCACAGAAGTAGAGTGAGCGGGTAAAGCAGGAGCTATAGCTATTTACCCATTCAGGTCTGACAAATATCCAATTCCCTAAGCAGAGGTTCGGGCATCCAGGCAACTAATCCAAAGTAATCCAAGTGAAAGAACAGCAGGGAAAAATTAGGTATTCTCAAGTGGGCCTTCACCATTCTCAGGACTAGGGTAGCCCTGCCAGGCTAAATCTCAATATGGGATAGATTTAGACACCAGTTGTAAGGGCTTAAGCACCAAATAAAATATTATTTTCTTTCCAGGCTAGGAAAGGGATCTGGGGGCAAGGTGAACTCACTGGCACCTTGATTGGGTGGAGGGGAGAGGCAGAAAGTCCATGAACATAGGAATATTTCCAAAGAAGGAAAGAGAAGGGAGGTTTAATGGCATGGAGTGATGTGTCAGGAGGCAGTAGATAGGGACTCTGGGGCAAGTGATGCTCTGTCTTCTTGGTGCTTGGGGGGGTCAACAGTGGGAGGGCTTCTAATGTCCTGGCCCCACTGGTGGACCTCCTGAGGGCCCCTGGTGTTTCTGGCCACTGTGTGACACAGAGTGTTGTACTGGATGGGCCTTTGGCCTGATCCAAGATTGGCGTCTCTTATGTTCTTAGGACTGGATGGGCCACTGGCCTGATCCAACACTGGCTTCTGTTATGTTCTTATAAGAGGGAACTAGGTAAACATGTGGAGCAGAAGTCCATCTGTGGCTATTAGCCACAAGGTATAGATAGGGGCTCTGGGGCAAGTGATGCTCTGTCTTCTTGGTGCTTGGGGGGGGGGTCAACAGTGGGAGGGCTTCTACTGTCCTGGCCCCACTGGTGGACCTCCTGATGGCACCTGGTATTTCTGGCCACTGCGTGACACAGAGTGTTGGGCTGGATGGGCCTTTGGCCTGATCCAACATTGGCGTCTCTTATGTTCTTATGTTCTTAAAGCCATTTAAACAGTAACCAACTATACTATGAAAAAGAGATTAATTGTAAAAACATGCAGAAAAAATACATTCATACACAGCCAGCAGAAACAAGGGGAATATGGATATCAAAAGCAACAATAGCAATTACAGACAACAGAAGAATACAGAAATGAAAAGAACTGTGACATTTAGGATTAACACACACAGAAAGCCACAAAACCAAGAAGGAAACAAAAGGACCAATGCTTTGCATACATTCCATGTAGTGTATTGAGTGGGTCTCATCACAAGGAGTATGTACATTTAGTAACTACAAATCCTACACTGAAGTTTTTTCAAAAAAATGCAATTACAACTTAAAACAAACCACAACACATTATGCAGCATTTGTTGGAGAACCACACTTGTGCACACTAAGTACAAACCTAAGTTGAGCCTGGGAAAGTGTTTGTGTATAACATTTTTTTTAAATCGTTCTCTTATTTTTCTCCTTTAGTCCACACCTGAAATTTAACAACCTTACCTTGATTTCAACGCATGGACTTCCTGGGAAACAGATGCTGGGGGAAAAGCATAAGCAGTTTTTAATGAACAGGTGCGTATCTGAAGAAGTGTGCGTGGTCACAAAAGCTTTTACTTGGAATAAAACTTTTTTTGGTCTTAAAGGTGCCATTGGACTCGAACTTTGTTCAGGTGTGTTTTAGGTCATTTTCAATAAGCGGAGGGTAGGTCGACTCTGACCCCGGGGGAATGGCCTGTCAGGTGCCCTTCAACTCTGGAACTGTCTCCCTTGCCCCACAGCAGTGGGGCTGGTGCCATCCCTTGCAGACTTTCTAGATTAAACTGAAGACTTTTCTGGGAGACCTTCAGATCAGATCGATAGTGGGATAGCACTTACTGAAGTTTATTCCTCTGGGGTTTTAAAAATAAGTGGTCACAACTGGAACCAAAGTATGCGTGGGCTCAGTTTGGCAATCCTGATAGTTCTCTAACACATCATGGGAAAGCAAGAGCTTGTTGTCCTTCCTCATCCATTGTCTGCATCGCCCACAAGGCCGCTGGGTGTTTATATGGTAGTAAAGCATCTGAAAAAGGTTTACACGCGTAAGCCCAGACCACTCATTTCCTAGATTTTATATGGAATCCTGATCATCCTGTTTAGATCACCACACGGGGCCAGATCTCCAGTCAAGGTAAAAGGTAAAGGTTTTCCTTGCTCAAAAGCTAGTCGAATCCAACTCTAGGGCACAGTGCTCTTCTCTGTTTCAAGCTGAAGAGCCAGGTGCCATCAGGAGGTCCAGCAGTGTGGCCAGGACATAGAAGCCCTCCCACTGTTGCCCACCCAAGCACCAAGAATACAGAGCAACACTTGCCCCAGACTGAGAGTTACTATCTATACCCTGTGGCTAATAGCCACGGATGGACCTCTGCTCCATATGTTTATCTAATTCCCTCTTGAAGCCGTCCATGCTTGTAGCTGCCACCACCTCCTGTGGCAATGAATTCCATGTGTGAATCACTCTTTGGGCGAAGAAGTACTCCCTTTTATCCGTTCTAACCCGACTGCTCAGCAATTTCATTGAGTGCCCATGAGTTCTTGTATTGTGCGAAAGGGAGAAAAGTCTTTCTCTACCTGCTCTATCCCATTCATAACCTCAGCCATCGTTTCTCCAAGCAAAAGAGCTCCAAGCGCTTTAACCTTTCTTCATAGGGAAAGTGTTCCAACCCTTTTATCATTCTAGTTGCCCTTTTCTGCACTTTTCCCAATGTTATAATATCCTTTTTAAGGTGTGGTAACCAGAACTTTTGGTCATGTAGGGAGTCCACCTTACACAACCTGCACTATGTTCCCCAACCAATGCTTGGTTGGTTTTAAAACACTTAGTTTTAAGGTATTTTGTACCAAAGAATCTCTCACTGTGGACTTCCATTAGCTCACCTTGCAGTGGAGTTTCGATCCACTGGGGGCTTTCAACCAGGCCATTGCATGTCTAATGAATGCTTTGCTCTCAGCTGCTAAAATGTCTTTTGTTCTTTCCTCACAGCCATTGTTTTAATGATGATGATTACGCACTGATGTCACTTTCTTCCTGGATTAATGTTGTGGTCGGAAAAATGACTGGCATAGACAGATCTGCAAAGCACGTCATAGTTTCCAAGGAAAAGAAAGTGCCATATGATCACCTCATTCTCTGCACTGGCCAGCAGTATCAGGTGACATGGATCAATGAATGAAATGGGGAAAATGTATATTTCTGGGGATGGGCATGACCTGGTTCATGAACCTAAGCTTGTGACGAATTTTGGGCAGTTCATAGTTCGCAAACCGAAGTTTGCAAACTGAAAGTTTGCCGTGAACGTCGATAAATGTTAAGGCACTTTGTGGTGGTTCAGGAAGAGCAAAAAGCAGGGGTAAATGGCTCCAAGCCATTTAAACCCTTGCTTCCTGCTCTTCACATAAAACAGCTGAGTGATAGGGAGCAGAAAGCAGGAGTCTCAAACCACTACAAACTGGTTTAGTGGTTCGGTTCGTTGTTTCATTGCAAAATACTCTTACTGGAGGTTTTTCTTGACTAGAGCTGGATCCAGGAACAATAGACGTGGGCTTGGATGCTTCCTGCCCTCCCTCTGAGAGCTCTGTTGATGGAAGTCAGAGAAAAGAGATGAGATGCCTAGCTGCTCCCTGTCCCAGTTATAATGGATGGTTGCCAGAGGGAGGGAGATGCTCAGCTGGAGCTGGATATAAGCAGGACAGGAGAATGCCTGGGTGTTTCCCGATCTATCTGTGACAATCCCAGCAGATGGAAACTGGGTGTATTATGAAAGCCCAGAGCATTTTTTAAAATTTTGTGTGAGTGTGTGCGTGCTTGTGAGCATGGAAGTCATCGTGACTTCTGGCGACCCCTAGTGAGGCTAGGACATTTCAGAGAGGTGGCTTGATAACCTGCCTCTGCGTCCCGCCCTGGTATTCCTTGGAGGTCACCCTTCCAAGTCCTTGCCAGGGTCAGCCCTGCTTAGCTTCCGAGACCTGATGAGATTGGGCTTGCCTGGGCTATCCAGGTCACAGCAAAACCCTAGAGCATTTTTAAGTCTTGAGAGAATTACGCGTAAGAGCCAAACACCCTGTGGCAGAACGTGCCTGCTCTGGCCTGCAGGCCCTATTCCACCCTTCCCTCCTAGGTTTTTCTCAGCACGTGGAGAGGCTTTTCTTGCACTCCCAGGTAGCCCACCACCACCACCTGACCTTTGTAAGGAATCACCCACCAGGAGGGTGAGAACTCCCAGCTTCCCTTCCAAGTTCTGAAGCCTTGCCTCTGTGTCTCCCACTGCCCAGCACCTGGTCACCACAGGAGCAGTTTACTGCCTTGCACACCCCTGGAGAAATAGCCACTTGCTAACTGCCTGCCTTCCTCCTGGCACTCCTTTTAAAATAGCGTGTCCAAGATCGTGGAGGTCTATGTGTACAGAGAACCACTGCCAGCATCAAAAGTTATAAAGTATTTATTTAAAAGAAAATGTTCACAGAATACTTTTAGCACAGCACCAGACTGAGCAAGGGATATAAAATAAATGGGTAAAATGCAAATCCCCTCTCCCTCTCTCTGTACATGCCCTGTCAGATGTTAAAATAGGACAGGCTCCTTATGTTAGGAAGTTACAGATCTCTACAGAGTTTCCAATATCCTGAAGCTCCCTTCAGCTGCCCAGACCAATCACATGGTCAATGGCTGCCTCCTCAGCTAAGAGTTCTGTCTCCTCTCATGGCCTCAGCACCCAAGGAAAAGTGACCTCCTTCCTGCTACAAGGCGTTTCTATTACCTCTCTTTTCCCCATCCCTTGACCAGATCACGCCAGGTCAAGGAGAAATTTCTTGGAGATCTCCAGGAATCTCTTTCCTGAAGACTGTCTAGCATTCTATTTCTCTAAATCTCTGTTCCCTGTTTGGGGAAGGGAGAGAGCTTGGCCCACCCATTATTTCTCCTGCCGGATCTGTTAGCATTTATATGAAGATGAACAGAGGTACGTCTGGGAAGCAATTGAACTGACTTCCTCCCTCTCCTGCCTGTTCTCTGCCCGGGTGGTGGTGGTGGGGAGACTTCTAAAGCTTAGAGTAGAGGCTTGGCTCATTTCAAACCTCCAAAGAAAAAATGCATTTCTTCACAGGCCCCATTCTGTCCCTGGCTGCAGCTATGGAGGCTTGGGCAAAGGCTCCTGTCCCACAGCTGCCATGGCTCAGTGGTAGATTATCTGCTTTGTGCACAGACGTTCCCAGGTTCTATATCCAGCATCTCTACGTAAAAGGATCAGGTAGGAGGTCGTGTGAAAGACCTCCGCCTAAGACCTTGGAGAGCTGCAGCCAGTCTGAGTAGATAAGATTGAGCTTGTTGGACCAATGGTCTGATTTAGGATAAGGCAGCTTTGTCTGTTCAAATCCCTTTGCACCATTTCCAGTTGGCAGATCAGGCTGTGCTTCATAAGTGATTTCTAAAAGAAGATGGGACATTGTAAAGCTAGAAGTAGGATCTTTACTCCACCAATTCCTCTGTGTGTTGGAAAGATCTGGTAGAATTGGCTCTTCTTTGGTTTACAAAGACAGGTGCTTCATAAATGCTAAAAAATGGTGTAGTGGTTAAGTGCGCAGACTCTAATCTGGGAGAACCGGGTTTGATTCCCCACTCCTCCACTTGCACCTGCCTGGATGACCTTGGGCAAGCCGTAGTTTTGATAAGAGCTGTCCTTGAAAAAGAGCCGTTTCTGTCAGAGCTCTCTCAGCCCCACCTACCTCACAGGGGAAGGGAAAGGAGTTTGTAAGCCGCTCTGAGACACCTTTGGGTAGTGAAGGGCGGGGTATAAACCCAATCTCTTCTTCTTCCTCTTCTTCTTCTTTTTTATTAAAACATTTATATCCTGCTTTTCCTTGTGGTTCAAGGTGGCTTACAATAATAATTAAAAATATTTTCAGTTATAACCAAAATTCAAATAGCAAACCCCTAATCACTCCCCTTTCTCTTTGTTGGCTTGCTTTTACCTGGTTTAGCTGACAAACACTGTGTTTTGTTTGTATTGACTTTATTAACAGTTTATTATTTTATTATGTAATTTTTTTCTTATTGTTGGGGATCTGGGTATGTGACCTCAGAACATGCTGAAGAGCCTCAGGGAATTAGACGTGCCTTATTGCAGGCTGTTATACATAACGGCACTGCGGTGGCTCAAGTGCTTAAGACGCTGAACTGCAGGCTGTGGAAGGTCAGTAGTTCAGCAGTTCAAGACCCGAGTGTGCCGCATGATGGAGTGAGCTCCCGTCTCTACTTCCAGCTCCTGCCAACCTAGCAGTATGAAAGCAAGAAATGGCAAGTAGATAAATAGGTACTGCTTCGGTGGGAAGGGAACAGCGTTCCGTGCACCTTGGTGTTTAGTCATGCCGGCCACATGACCACGGAAACGTCTTCGGACAGCGCTGGCTCTTCGGCTTGGAAACGGAGATGAGCCCCGCAGCCCTAGAGTCGGACTCGACTGGCTTTCGAGCAAGGGAGCCTTTACCTTTTTATGCATAGTGCAAAAGACAATAATGCTAGGGAATGCTGAAGGCAGGAGGAAAAGAGGGAGACCCAACATGAGATGGATTGACTCAATACAGGAAACCACAAAGGCCTTCAGTTTGCAAGGCCTGAGAATGACTGTTAATGAGAGGACGTTTTGGAGGACATTAACTCACAGGGTCACCATAAATTGGATGCGGCTTGACAGCACTTCACACACACACGTATAAAGGCTATGTCCCATTCACTGTTGGTCACTGGGGTGATCGCTGGCCTTACACAGTCAAAAGCCTTTTATACAGGGGATACTGATGACCACGTGCCCCATTCAAGCTCCTGCTGAGGACTGGGCTCTGTAGTTCAGTCTGGTATGACTGACTGTTTCTGGTCGTGGCCAGCAACTGGTAATACTTGCTAAGACAGCAACAGCCTATGTGGATTCATACACCCTGCAACATCAACAGAACGTGTCTGTTTACAGCTCTACCAAACAAGTCTCCTGCTCTCTTATTTTGAGAACTGGTTTGTCGCAATGTTAGCACAGCACGTGAGCAACGAGGCAGGAAGTTGCTGGGAAAATAGCCGCCTGACAAGCGAACTTGCTGGGTGGCCTTAAGCGGGCGTTAATCTGTCAAGGACTCATGGTCTTCCATACAGCTACGCCTGAGTGAGGCTCATCATTGCTGGACAGGCAGGCCAGGGTAGGTGAAGCAAAGCAGGAACTGGGCAGAGAAGACAGACAGCAGCAAGCTGATACCAGCTTGGTATCAGGAAGAAGGCTCCCATCAAAGCCTTTCCTGGGTCAACTGAACCAGGGTCGGTTCCTTTTGTTGTTGACCCACTAAGTCAACGGCATGTAGCATCTTCTCGTGGTTTATACTGAAGGTGCCCAGATGGAGAGCAAGGCAGTATCTCCCTTCCCTGGCAAGCAGCCTCAGCTATGGAGCGGGTGAGGTACTGGAGTCTGGCAAACCGAGACTCCGCTTGGAATATTTGCCTTCTCTCAGCCTTAGTTTCCCACTTACAGTTTGAGGCCAATCAAGGGTCATTTCCTGCCGGAGCGCACAGGAGCGGAGCTCCGGCAGTAAAGAGCCCAGGGGGCGGGCACATGCAACAAGCCCCACCCCCTGCTTGTTGCAGCCAGCTAAGTTGCAGAGCTCCCCCCGGTCCAAGCCAGTCCAGTGGCACCTTTAAGACCAGGTTTTATTCAGGTACAAGCTCTCCCTCCTCTGCGAGGACAGATCTGCACGTTTCCCCCCCCAAAAAATAGCTAGCAATCCAAAACAGCCCAGTGGAGCCTGAGCGGTGGGTGTTGCCTCCTGACACACTTCCAGTGATGTCAGGGTATGTGGCATACGCAAATGTTATGCTAATGAGTTATGCTAATGAGCTCCTGCACCTCTTTTTCTACGAAATGACCCCTGAGGCCAATAATGTTAGCTTGGCTTCTAGGCTCATTGCAAGGGTTTCTGGAATTGCTCTCCCATGCACCCTTGGCCAGAAGCTCTACTGGACTCAGCAGGACATAATTCCAAATGAGAATGTATGGAACAGCACTGCTGTACATGAAATGCTCTGAATAGAAGTGAACTTCAACAGTTAAATATTCTTATTTCCATGGCAAGTGGGTTTACAGTGAATGGCATACATGATGGCAATTTAATTGATCTACTACTATTCATCTCTGGTCCTCTTAATTAATACAGGTCCCATGTCCCACTGGTGCAGATATCCGAAAACTGCCTACCAACCGAGAGGTCTCCCAGAACTGTAAACAGAGATACACTGGCGTGGTCCCTTCAAACTTGTTCATTCTTTCGGATGAGGACGACTGCTTAATGGCAATGAACTGGGTAAAAGAAAAACTTATTGGTTTCCCAGGTAAGATTTTTGTATTAAGTACTGTAATGGGTGGACAGGAGAGGTGTGTGTGTGTGTGTGTGGAGAAGAATTGGTGTATTTTTGGCGTAATGTGTCTTCATTTGTAGCATATAATTATAGCCTAATTAATGCTCATAAAATGTTTTATTTGCTGGGATTTGTTTTATGAATTAATTTGCAACTCTTTGTCAATTTTGGAGACCTTTTTTAAAATTGGAATAAAGGCTGGATATATTAATTATCTATAATTATTTTATGACATGAATGAAAGCCCTAAGAGCAGAGTCTGCCTGCAATCATTAATTAACAAATAAGATCATAATTTCATTAGTAAATGTGTTGTGCTGCTTATAGACAAAAAATCAGAATCGGAAAACACTAGCAAAAATAAATCTCCAACAAAAACCATTAGGCTCAATCCAGAGATACACTTACCCAAAAATGTGTTGTATGTATCTCGCATCGTGCACATTAAGCTGATGTGGTTAGGCATTCACCCTTCTGTTAAGGCACCTATAGCTGCTCTAGAAAGGCAAATGAGGTTTTTGTCGCACTGTTTCAACACTGAACCCATTTTTGCCAATGTGTTCAGTACTCTCTACCCGTCTGCATGAAATTTCTTCATTGCATGTGCACGGTGGAATGGCAGATGAGTTACCATATGCAAAAGACCGAGCAATGTATCTGCACATATTCTTTTTCTTTTTTTTTAATATATATTTATTGGTTTTTTCAAACACACAAAAAGGCATAACAAGACATAACATACATATATGAAACTAAAACAAAAGCTTTATCTCTATAACATAGTATTCCAGCCAAATACAGCAAAATAGATATTCTTTCCCGTCTTAACATAATAACTGAAATGATTATAGGGCTGCCAAGTGGGGGCGGGTGGTGGGTAAACCCCCACTTTGGAGGCCCGATTTCCGCCGCGGCGGAATCGGGCCCCGGGGGGAACTCCGCCCCCCGAAGCGCAGCGTGGCTGCGTCACCAGAAGTGACACAACCACGTCGCTCACGTTGGGGGCATGGCCCTGATTGTCGGAGGGAAAACTCTATGGTTTTCCCTCCGACGATTGTGGCCATGCCCTCAACGTGAGCGACGTAGCGCATCACTTCCTGTGACGTGCTGGCAGCACGCGCGCGCACGCATCGCCGGAGAGCTCCCGGAGCCCAGTGAGGCTCCCCCGCTGCCAAGGTAGACTTGGCAACCCTAAATGATTATCCTCTGGACGTGTATTTCATGCAACACCCAATCTATTATTAAACCACTAAATGTGACAATTCATTTTTTGAAAGAAATCAATTAACATTGACATTCTGTCAGTTCTATCTTCCAATCTCTTTCTATAAGATTTTTTTTAATCTTAAGACTACTTGCATTTTTTTTTAATCTTAAGACTACTTGCACATATTCTTACATCAAGATGGGTAGCTGTGTTAGTCTGTAGTAGTAGAAAAGAGTAAGAGTCCAGTAGCACCTTAAAGACTAAGAAAATTTGTGGTACGGTGGACTGCTCAGTGACTCACAAAAGCTCATACGCTGCCACAAATCCTGCTAGTCTTTAAGGTGCTACTGGACTCTTACTCTTTTCTACTGCACATGGTTTTTTCATCTACGGATATGGAATGGGATCCCACTATCTTCTTACAGTACATAGGTGAGCAACAGAAACAAAAAACATAAGAAAAACCCTGCTGGATCGGACCAATGTTGTTCATCTAGTTCAGCATCCTGTTCCAGTTGCTCTAAGGACAACTAACAGGGCTTAGAAGCCAGGGCCTTCTCTTGATCATGCCTTCCAGCACTGCTATTCAGATGTTCGCTACTTCTGTATTTGGAGGTTCCCTTTACTCCTTATGGCTAGTAGCCATGGATGAACCTCTGCTCCTGTAATGCAGGGCTATTTTTGGGCAGGAACACACAGGAACGGAGTTCCGGCTGGCTTCCAAGTTGGCCACACCCAGCAGGAACTCATTAGCATAATAGGCCACACCCAACAGCAGAAACTCATTAGGATTGGCTACATTAGGGGTGTGTGGCCTAACATGCAAAGGAGTTCCTGCTACAAAAAAGCCCTGGGTAAACAGAATAAGAAGCAAAAGGTGGGTGTGGCTGGATGAGCACACTTCTGGTAACATGGGGGTGTGGCCTAATATGCCAATGAGTTGTGCTGTCAGGGGTGTGGCCTAATATGCTAATGAGTTCCTGCTGGGCTTTTTCTACAAAAAAAGCCCTGCTGTAATGTATCCATCTCAGACCACGTGCATGGCCATTTCACCACGCGGTCTTGCGAAGCGACTGAGCTTCACTCGCAGTAACAATGGGACAAGCGGTTCCTAGCCGGCGCCTATCGGTAGGCTAGGCTTCCAGTCCAGAGCCTATGGAACTCTCGGCCACTGTAAATAGCCAATCACTTGTGTGTGGGTGTGTTTGGGGTGGGGGGTTGTTGCACATATAAACCAGCCTGCGAGCTGGTTCGTTTGTCTTGTTCTGAGCTGAAATAAAGTATGAGAGCTGAAATCACTAGTAAGTCATAGTACTTTTCAGCTGCATAAATGTGTCTAGTTCCCTCTTAAAGCGATCTATGCTTGTGGCTATCACTGAGTCCACTGACAGTGAATTCCACAATTTAATGGCACATGGAGTAAAGAAGTGTTGCCTTTTGTCTATCCTGATCCTATTTACCCATCAACTTCACTGGGTTCCCCTGAACTCATGGCCGTAGCCATTAGCAGTACCCCCTATCTCTGGGGCCTGCATGACGCTGGGGATGGCTGGATGGTGAGGGTTGCAAAGCCCGAGCACTGGAGGTCAGCCTAGAGGAGGGAAGCTACCCCTGGCCTGGCAGCAGCTGCCGCTTGAGGCCTCCTCCTCCTCCTCCTCTTTTTCCTGCTTCCGGAGCCATTGACAGGCCCAGTAGCAGCCGCTTTTCAGTCACCTGGCTGAGTTGCAGGATGGAGAATCCAGCCATTCCAAATAAATAAATAAATCTGTAGTACTGTGTTGTGGCACTGCAAGGACCCAACTCAGTGGCACAAAATAGTGATGAAGTATCTGCATAGAGAAAGAGGGAGGGGGTTGGGGTGAGGGAATCATGCTGGAAAAAGTTTGGGAGGGAATCTTGCCTACACGTGTTAGGGATTAGAAAGACTACTAAAAGGTAGAGGTTCCCTTGCTCGAAAGCCAGTCGAATCCGACTCTAGGGTTGCGGTGCTCATCTCCGTTTCAAAGCCGAAGAGCCAGCGCTGTCTGAAGACATTTCCGTGGTCATGTGGCCGGCATGACTAAACGCCAAGGCGCACGGAACGCTGTTCCCTTCCCACCGAAGTGGTACCTATTTATCTACTTGCAATTTCTTGCTTCCAAACTGCTAGGTTGGCAGGAGCTGGAACTAGAGACGGGAGCTCACTCCGTCATGCAGCACACTCGGGTCTCAAACTGCTGAACTACCGACCTTCCACAGCCTGCAGTTCAGTGTCTTAACCACTTGAGCCACCGCAGCTCCAGAAAGACTAGAGTGAGACCATAAAATGTACTAAACTTCCATGAAGCCCTGATCTCTTTGTGAGAAGCAGAGAAAAAAGAGTCTCAAACAATGGTTGGTGCAAAACTTGATGCAACAGATGAATGGAAGGAACTCTAGGTCTTTAATCCCACAGATGTTAGAAGCGAGAACTTTAATTCATCTCTTTTTTAAAAAAATAAAATAATAAAGCTACAGTTTAATGTTTTTAGATACCGGTGCTTTCAACACAATAACAGCCAATAAACCTTTTTACATCAACCTGCATTGCTGAAATCATCAACCACTTAATTTAATTGAACTAGCACATGCACCCCAGTGACCCCCCCCCAAAAAAAATTCCTGGCTATGGGGCTGCCTGAACTATAGTGCTGAGGGTAGAGGGGAGGGGCAGTGTTTTTTTATGCTGGGAGCCCATGTTCAAGAAAAACCCACCTAGATCAGACCAACGCGCCATTCGGTGAAGCATCCTGTTTTCCTCAGTGGCTAATCTGATAAACCTGCTAACAAGAGCCCAAAGGCCAAAGGCCACAATGACTGAGGTATAATGCTCAGAACTTGGAAGCTCCTTTAGCCATTGTGAATGATAGCTACGGGGGGTCTACCCACCATGAATTTGTCTAAAGCCCTTTTAAACCACTTACACGAGAGGCTAGTGTTGTACATCATGGCAGTGAATTCCACCAAGTGAACTGTGCATTTCTCTGTTCTGAGTCTTCTTCCCATCCATTTCATTGAGTGCCCAGAGTTCCGGTACTTGGAAAGAAGGAGAAGGTGAGGGACTTCGTTTAAAACCTTTTTGGAAGTTCAAGCATGTTCTCCCTTTTCTGCATGTCTGTTCCCTGAGGTGTAGGACCTCCCTGTACCCAATGGAGAAGGAAATACCCTGTGTCTGCTGAGAGGCAGTGTCTGCTGCTCTTGTTTCGTGTGCTCCAAGGCTGAGAACAAACACTGAAAAGAGCACCCAGGGTGGAACTGTGACAACCCCTGGCATGTACTGAACTCTTCTAGGGATGTATGCATAGAATTGTTCCCTCCCTTGAAGTGAATGGAGATGCGTCAGCTCTGACTGCAGATCCTACAGTCATTCCAGAGGGACATCCATTGTGGCCCCTTAAGGAATCTCCGAAGTGCCACATACCTCGACTCTCTCCAGGAGGTCAGGCGCCTCTGCATTTGGTCTACATGTGCAGAAATGATCAGAAACACCTGCATTTTGCTGAGCTTTTGGTATTAATGATGATGATAGTTGGATAGATTTATGCTACTGTAATGGAGTGGCCGAGGGGTGGAGCCAGTCTTGCTTTTGCCGTGAACCCATTCATTTTAGGTTCAGTCCCCTCGTCCGCAATATGGGGATGATTGTGTGTCATGACCTATTTTACCAGGATTACTGAAAACAGTGAAACAGGTATTTTCTTGTGGCCCCAAGATGCTCACGACGTTTGCTCCCGCACTCCATTTCCTT